AAGGAATTTGGGATAAAATCCCATCTGTGGTGCTGTACATGCTATGCAGGGGGGTTTTCCATGTCCTGGATTTTGGGAAGGACCTCACTTCCTGCTGACTTTAGGGATTACATCAGTGGAACTGGGATGTGCTGGCTGGGGGAAGGTGGAGAGCTGGAAAAAATTCCAGCCCCCAGGATGAGCTGTGCAGTGCCAAAGTCATGATCCCATGGCAGAGCTCTGTTCTACCAAGGTGATAAATGGAGATAAATTTATTTTATATAAATATATTTTTACATAACATGGGCAGGGCGGTGTTTGTGTCCCAGGGATGCAGGAATATTGAGGAGGCAGGCCGACACAGAGCATGGAAAGGAAGGAATGTGCAAAAATCAAACTCTGGCTGAGCCAGAATATAAAGATCCACTCGAGCCAAAAAATTCCAGCTCCAATCTGAGCCCAGGCTCTGCTCACAGTGGCTCAGCCCTGAGCTTGGAGCCAAATCCAAGATTTTTTTTTTTTTTTGGTCCAGGATTAATTTGGCTGAGATTTGAATTAATTCCTGCTTTTTAAGTGAACATTACCCCAGATTCCTCCATGCCCAGCAGCCCAACCTGCTTCCACCCCAGGACTGAACTCCAGGACTGGAGTTCTCACCTTACGGAGATGTCAGGATCTGTGGAGATGTCAGGATTTGTGTGAACACCAGAGCAGTTTTGGGACAAACCTGTGGTGTGGGAGCATCAATAACTGAGAAGGAGGGAGCGAGGGGACACTTTGGAGATGCCGCATTGATCGTCTTCTTGTGGTTTTCCACCCAATTCCGGCGATCCCGGTAATTCCTGCTTGGAGGCGGCACGGAGCACCCTGCACCGCTTCAAGGGGACTTTGCCAGGGGCTGTGCCCAATCCCAAGCATCCATGGATAAGGTGCTCCAGGGTACTGCTGTGTTCGGGGGTGAGCACCCCCCAAAATCATCCCTCTGCCCTGTGGGAAACCCACAGGCTGGGAAGCTGGAAGAATTCCAGTCATTTCCCAGCTCAGCGATGCCCACTGAGCGGGCAAGTAAAGCTTGGAAACAGGGTTAAGGAGCTCTGCAGGAGGGGGACATGAAGAGGACCCCCGGGGCTTGTCCCCATGTCCCCATCCCAAGTGCCAGGCAGCCCTTGGAGCATCCTTTTGGACTGGGCTGCTGTTTCCACCCCTGGAAAAGGCTGAGTATGGAGCTGAGGATGCAGGAGATGCCCAGGATGAGCAGAGGGACTGCAGATCCTCACAGGAGGGACAGCGTGGTGTCCGGGGGTCCTGCTGCAACCCCCAAAAAGCAGCAGGAAGATGGAGAAGGAGGCTCCAGCCCTGCTCAGGGATCGGGAAAAGTGAGGGGAAAGCTTTGAAACCAGGTCAGAGTGACCCCAAGCACCACACGTCCTCCTGCAGCAGACGTGGTGGCACCTGCGGATGTCGCAGTCCTGCGGCACACGGGTGACACACGACCCTGTCCCGCCACATCCCCATCCCAAAACATGTGCCAACATGCTTGGAATGCACACACATGACACTGCAAATATTGCAGCCATCCCAAAAAAAGCTGCAAACCCAAGCAGGGACCACCCAGACACCCCCCAGAGCCCGGGGTGCAGGAGGGGCACAGCCCCAAAAAGGAGACGAGTCATAAACCAGCCAAATTTAGGCTTAAACTACTTTAGGTTTTATTATTTATTCAGCAAACCCAAATCTCAGAAAGCTGGGAGCTTCAGGAGCATGGAGAAATTCAGGATGATGGGGCAGAAAGGTGCAATTCCACCCCCAAATCTCCCAGAAAAATTGTGGGATGGGGTCCCCCAATGGAGGACCAACATTAATGGGTGGCAGCAACACCCTGTGTCCTGCTCCAGCTATTAGGCGATTTCAAGGAGGGTTTGGAGAAAAAAATAAATCAACAAGGAACTAAAAAAATAAATCAAAGTGGCACACGGAATTGGGGATCCCTCTGGGATAAAGAGGAAGGGATAATGCCTGGATTGCCAAAATAATCTGGGATCTTTCCCAGGTTGTTGCACCCCAAAACAAAAGCAAAAGGAGAGGGCAAAGGGGAAAATTTGGAATCCTAAATTGCTGCCTTCGCTCTGCCATGGAAGCAGGAAAAGGATTCCAGAGCTGGAGACGATCGCGGCCACCTCACGGGCATCGCGCCGTGTCCTGGGGTGACACCCCATGGGACAGCGCTCCCACAAAACCCCACACAGACCCCAAAGTCAGCTCTGCTTCCCCAGCCAGCCCCAGCCCAGCTGGGAAAAGGGGCAGTGACCCCCAGGATGTGCTAACAGGGAATGGGGATCACGGAAAGATCCAGGAGTGAGGATTTAGACAGCGGGGACTGAGATCTCCAGGCTGGTTTGGGGATGGTACCAGCCCCAAACACTTTTTCCTCCCCAAATTCTTGTTTGATCATGACCACGCAGCTGGATGTGTTCTTCCCCCAAAAATATATGCCAAGAGAAAGGGATATTGGGAGGAAAATTAGGGAATTACCCACCAGAAAGCTGTGATTCACCTCCAAAAAATTCAAGGACGCCACGTCCCGCAAGTGGCTGCATGGGTTCATTTTATTTAGAGCCAGGTTTGCAAAGTTTCCCTGGATCTAAATAAATACAGGAATAAGGGGTGAATCCCCCACCCTTCAAACACCCCCTTTTGTCCAGCCCTGGGACAAATCTCCCTCTTTGCATCCCAGCTCCCATCCCAAAATCCAAGTCCGATATTGAGCCAAGCTCAGGCTGCTCAAAAATCCTCTGGTCACACAGTAAGACACCAAAAAGCCATAAAAAGATGAAGAAAAAGGGGAGTGAGGTTTGGGTGTGCAGAAAAGGCATGACCAGAGGGTTGTGGAGTTGCGGGCACCCCACAAATCCAAGGAAAAGCCAGGGGGTTACATGAGCACGGCAGAGATTTATGGAAGTAGCAGGAGGGAACACGCCACAGCTTGGGGACCTGCCACAGCTGAGCCTGGGCAAAAACACAGGACAGAAAATACACCAAAATATTTAAAAAGCACATAGAATGCCGAAAAAATGTGTTGTACCAAGGGTTGTGTTGGAATTTGTCCCACTGAGTCCGGGAAAAGCTGCACCAGCGCTTGGGGTTTGCGGCAAAGGGAGAAACATCCTTAAAAACAGTCCCAAAACCCCACAAAATCTCAGTAAAATACCAGCCCAAAAGCTTGGATTAGGGAAGGTGTGGGCTTGGTTTGTTAAGGGGTCCTTCTTTAATTAAAATTTCAAGCGGGAGAAGCCAAAGGAGGAAAGAAAAATAATTTATTACCGTTGAAAATCAAGCCAGCGGCTCATCGGGACGGTGTCGGGCAAGCTGGAACCAAACTGGATCCGGTGACTTCCCAGCAGCTGCAGGGATGAAGGTCTCCAGGACCCTCCAGCCGGGAAAGAAAACCAAAAACACTCAGAACCCGGCTAAAAAAAAACCAAACCAAAACAAAAACAAAACAAAAAAAAGGCAGGAAAAGTGAAAAGCCAGAGTTCAATGAGGCAGAGGCGACGCTCAACACCGGACTTATCTCAGCGGGAGCTCAGGGAAGGTTTTGCACCAGCACCGGGAATCAAAGGGATAATAAACAACCCCCAAACAAAACCCCGACGATGCGGGGACTCCCCCCAAAAGTTGAGAGAAAACCCGACCCAGGCTCTAGTTGAATATAAGTTTTTATCTTGATGCAACATCATTAAAACCGTCACAAATCGAAACAACAGGTCGTTAAAAACGCTTCGCACGATCAGTCCCTAAAATGCACCAGGTTCCCAAGCTCGCTTTGTCCGCAGGACCCTTTTGTTTCCCCCCAAAATTTGTTTTTTTAAATTTTTTTCTCCTTTTTTAAATAAGCAACTCGTTTAAAAAAAACAAACAAACAAACCCGCCCCGCTCCTCCGCGCAGGATCGGTCCCGCTTTCGCTCCAACGATTGCACAAATTCTTAATCCTTTTTTTTCCTCTTGTTTCCACAACAAATAATGTGCATTTTCTTGCCGTCTGTTTTTTTTTTTTCTTTTTCTCCAAACATCGAGGTTAAAATAAGATTTTCCGTTTCCCGAGGGTTAATAAATAAATCTGGTGCATAGTGAGATAGCAGCCAACCGTTTGCAGTCCATATATTACTATATTGCCTTTCAGGTCACCCTAAAATTGTTACCTCTTCCCCTCCCGCCCCTCCCCACTATTTTTAAGAGCATAGATAATTTTAAATCTCTATAAAACAGTATTATTTCACCCAATCGATTCCTGTATATAGTGCATTCGGCTTCTTCCCAACATCGTTAAATTAACTCGGATATTATTTGCATGCTATTACATACAAACTTTTAAGACTCGTGTAATTTTTTTTTCTCTTTTCTAAAGGATTTTAGGGTTTTTTTGTTGGTTTTTCTTTTTTTTGTTCGTTTTCTTTTTCTCGTAAATCACCAAGCAAAATATAGGCTCAAGGAAAAAAAAAAAAAAAAAGAAAGAAAAACAAAAAAGGCAAAAAACGAACTAATTTTCTACATATTTACAAGGGTGAATAAGTTAAATGTGGCTCAGGTTTGCCGGCCGGGAATGGGGGGTGGGCGGAGGGGCCGGGCAGGGCGCAGCGCTGCCGGGGACCCCCCGGCCGATCCGCGGGGATCCCTCGAAGAATAAAAATCCCAGTGGAGGGGAAAACCCGCAGGAAAAGGTGGGGAGAAGCCACCTGGATGGCGCCGATGCTCCCGGGAAGGGGGGCGGGTGGCCGTACACGTCCCGCATGCAGGGCTGCCCCCCACTCCCCCACCCCGGGACCCCCACCCCGAGTCCCGATGGGTGGGTGCGTGGTGGGAGGGAGGGAGTTTCAACTTCCCCTCCCCAAAATTTCAGTGGGGACTTCATAATATTATTTTTTTTTCTCTTTTTAAATATAAGCGGCGGGTTTGCTCTCTCCCCGCATGAGGAAAAAAAAAACCAAAAAAAGGGGATCCCACCCCATCCCACCAGCCCGGCTCACATGAAGAAGTCAGCGGTGGCTTTCGGGGCGGCGGATGGGGAGGGCTCCCGCGGGAAGCCCCGGCCGGCCAACTTCTCATATTTTTCTTTGTACAGATCCCTTTCCTTGGCCAAGCGGGTCACCTCCTGCTTGAGCTGCTCCACCTGGCTCTGCAGTTGGCATTTCTCGTTCTCCAAGATGTGCCGTTGCTGGACCCGCTTGTAGCGGCAGGATTGAGCGTAGCCCCGGTTCTTCAAGGTCCTCCTCTTCTGCTTGAGGCGGATCACCTCCTCCTTGCTGAAGCCCCGCAGCTGCCGGTTCAGCTCCCGCACGGACATACTCACCAGCTGATCGTCGGAGAACCGGTCCTCCAAGCGTAGGTGGTGATGATGATGATGGTGATGGCCGGGATGGTGATGCGCGGCCGGCGGCAGCTCCTCACCCCCGAAGGGCTGAGGTCGGAAGGGCTCGTACCCTTGGTGGTGATGGTGATGATGGTGAGGGGCACCGATCAACGCCTCCACCGCGTCCTCCGGCGTCAGGTTGAGAGCTTCGGGGTTGAGGTGATGCTGGTAACCCGACATCCAGTACAGCTCCTCCAGCTGCTGTTTGGAGCCCAGGGAAGCGGCGGTGGTAGCCGGGGGGCCGGGGGCCGGTTGCCCACCGGGGCTGGGAGCGCAGAAGCTGGGCGAGGAAGGCACGGAGGAGCAGGGCGTGCTGAGCGGGGTGGACGACAGGGACCCGGCGGGCAGGCGGTGGCACAGCCGCTCCGCCTCCGCCGGCTCCTTCTTCACCTCGAACTTCATCAGGTCGAAATCGTTCACGTACTCGATGGCGAGGGGGCTCGTGGGCAGCTCCGCGCTCATGGCCAGCTCCGAGGCCATCTCAGTCCATGGAGGGACCGGGGGGGGATCCCCCGGGCACCGCCGCTCACCGAGGGTCCCGCGGGCTCCGGGAGCCTCCTCCGAGCGGGCTCCGGCGCAAGCGGCTGCCCAGACCGGGCTCCGGGACCCTCCGATGGGGCTTTGCCGTGGGGTTCAGCGGGGCTCCGGGACCTTCGGACGGGGATCTGCTGCCGGGCACTGGGACCCTCCGGCGGGGCTCCGCTGCGGGGCTCAGCCGGGGACCGGGAACTCCCGGCGGGACTTTGCGGTGGGATTCAGCCGGGCTACGGGACCTTCTGACGGAGCTCTGCGGCGGCGTTCAGCGGGGCTCCGGGACGCTCCGACCGGGATCCGCTGCGGGGCTCAGCCGGGCTCCGGGGACTTTGCGGGGAGGTTCAGCGGCGTCCGAGATGGGGCTCTGCTGCGGGGCTCCGGGACCCTCCACCGGGGCTCTGCTGCGGGGCTCCGGGACCCTCCACCGGGGCTCTGCTGCGGGGCTCCGGGACCTTCCACCGGGGCTCTGCTGCGGGGCTCAGCCGGGCTCCGGTGCTCGCCTCCGACGGACTTTGCGCTGCGGTTCAGCCGGGCTCCGGGACCCCCAGCCGGGGCTCCGCTGAGGGCTGCGGGGCAGCCACCTCTCTCCGTCGGGGCTCGGTTCTGCTGCTGCTCTCCGGGACCCTCCTCCGACCGCCACGGCTCTGCGCTCGGGCCGGGCGGGCTCCGCCGCTGCCTGCGGCCGGTTCCCAATGGCGAGGAGCGGGCAGCGCCCTGCCCGCCCCTTCCTGCCTCCCCTGGCACCTGCCCCAGCCCCACCTCCCCGGGCTCCGAGCCCTCTCCTGCCTCCTCCTCCTCCCGCCGGGACACGGCGCCCTGGGGGCGGGGGCCGCTCCCCTGCCCGCCCCTGCCCGCGACCGGCGCCGCCGCCGCCGGGAGCTCAATGGAACTCGCCGCTTTTTATACGGGGAAAACGAGGCACGGGCACGCCTACTGAGGCGAGGCTAAGCGCTTCCAGCCTATCAGCATCCCGAGAGCTCGCTTGGATTTTCATATCCCCATGGCAACGCCCCCGGGGCAGCTGTCAATCTCCGGAGGCGGGGAAGGCTCCGGGTACCCCCTGGACCCTCTCGGCCTGCGCATCCCAAGGTGGGGCTTCAGCTGCCACCCTCCGCCCCGAACTGAGTGTGGAGTCGGGAGAAACATCCTAGATATCCTGATTTCCAACTCCCCAAAAAGGGGAAATATCCGAAAAGGAGTTACTGACCCTAAAATCGGGTTTGGTGCCACCTCGCTGAGGGATCACAGCATCGGAATTCAGCCCCTTCCCCACCTCAGGAACAGACCAGGATCCTTCCCGGAGCACTTCCATCCTTGCAGAAAGTAAAATAAGTATAATTCTGGGGATTTTTCGATTTTCCATAAGCTATTGGTGGTCAGGCTGCACCTGGTTTCGGAGGTGGCATCGCACCTAGCACAGGTGACATCCACACCTGACACATGAACGGGAGTGTCACCAGATGGAGGACCAGGACTGCCAGCCCAGCTCCTGGAAAAGGTGTCAATGGCACACAGAGGCAGCAGGTCAGGGGGTTTTTGGGGTGCTCATGCCACCCCTGGATGAGGCCCTGGTTGGGATGTGGCCGTGCTGCTCCATCTGCAACCTCACAGCTGCTGCAGCCTGGTGGGAACAGGACTGGGAAACTGAGGCACGGGGCAGTTGCCATGGAGTGGTCCCACCTAATCCCAAGGGATGAGCAGGTCCATCCCACAGAGTCTGGAAACACCCACCCACTCATCCCCTGGGGGTCCAGGATTGTCTCTGTCACCCACAGGATGCATCCTGGGTCCCACTGCATCCCAACCCAGCTGCATCCCACCCTACTGGATCCCACAGGCAGCTCCTCGGGATGTGGGGGGTGACATTCTCCTCATCCAGCCAATCCTGAATGGGGATTTGGGGACAGGAGACACTGCTCTCCATGGCTGCTAACTGACTCTTTGGATATAGGGTCAAATTAATGCAAAAAAAGGTGTTTTTTGAGGATGAAAACCTTTATCCTGATGCAACTCCAGCAATTAAAATTGTTGCTTTTGCTGGATCTGGCCTCTGGGGAGGGCCCATCTTTCTGCTGCTAATTGGGTCAGGGCAAGGGGGGCATTTATTCCCCTTGGGAAGGGTCATGGATGCAACCAAAGCCCCAAACATGACCCCCATTCCCTGGTGATCCTGGATGTTATCCCATATTGGACACAGACATGCTACTTTGGAGTCCCCAAACTTGGGCATGACTTGAGGGAGGGGGCAAAGAAGTGGACAACAAAAAACCTTTTTTGTGGGGTGGTTTTAACCCTTTTTGCTTCATTGTGTCACCCTAAATCCATCATCATCCCACCTGTGTAGCAGGATACCGGGATCCTGCACTGGGAAAAGATGGGGTGCCACCTCCTTTCTCCTGGCACTATGATCCTCCCCAGAGCTGCTCCACCCTGGGGGCACCTGGCCCCCACCAGCAGCTGCCACCCAAGCTGGGACAGGAGCCACCAAGGGATTAGGACCGGGCCGGGCTCCAATGGGGCCGTGGCTCCCCGGTGACACCCCCGGGGTATTTTTAGGAAATGCCCATGGCATGTCCCCAACCCTCCCGGCCACGCCGGGCCCGTCAGCTAAGTTTACTCACAGGCGGTCAAGTGACATAACCAGGTTGGTGGCCTCGGGATGGTGGCAGGATGGCGTCACCTTTCACTTTTAGAGCTCGTGTGCCCCATCACTCCTTAGAGCAGGGCTGGGTGCCCACCTGGGGCTGCCTCAGTTTCCCTGGATGGCACACGGCTCCCACTTGAGGTGTTGTTGGCTTGGGGACAGTGACCTCACCCCGCGGGAGGGTGTTATCCACCACAATGCACCCCATGGAGAGAGGGTGGGACCATCCTGGTGATGCTCCACCAGCACCTGCCTCACTACCCAGTGCTGCTGCAGGCTCAGGAATTTTGGGGCGGAGGGGGGGAAATCGCATTGGGAGGAGGATGAGGATGAGGATGAGGCTGAGGAGGAGGAGAAGGTGGAGAAGGAGGAGGGCAGGGAACAGCCACCCCGATGACAGGCAGAAAACTGATCCCGGCGGGTGACGTTCACCCGGCACCTGCTTCCCCGGCAGGGGACCAAAAGCGCTGCCAGCAGCACCCGCCACGGGAAGGTTTTTCCGGGAAATGTTTATGGAGCCCTCCAGAAACGCCACCCTGTGCCAACCTCCCAGTCGTGGCACCCCCCAGGGAATGCCCTTGGCGGGCAATGTCCCCGAGCCCAAGAGCGCACCCCCGGCTTCACAGCGCGGAGGGATAAATCCCATTGGAACCCACTGCCGGGGAATTGAGGATGTTGGAGACAGAGGGGGAACCCACCGGAGTTCAGTGACACCTCTCCAGGGGCCGCGTTTATCCCTGCTTGGAAATTAATCACCCCCAAGCAGAGCTTTAACGACAGCCGGCTGGAAATTCCAGTCCTCCCCGGGAAGGGAGCAGCGGTGCCGGTGGGCGGAGGAGCCACCGCTCCTCATTGCCTCCTTTAATTAGTGCAGCACAAGGATTATCCTCGTTAGGGATCCAGGGAAAACCAAAGCTCCCGGCCACCGCTGGACATCCCTGAGGATTCACAACAGCACCGTCTTCTCCAGGATGGTTTTTAGGGAATTTAGTTGGGTTTTTTTAGGATACCGCCACATGAAGAATCATTGTTTCTGGGTGAAAAGTTTTAATGGTTAAAAAACCCAAGGATTTAGGGATCAGAGTGACTCCTCCACTGGATTTGGATGGATATTTGATGGGATGCTCATGCACTGCTGAAAAAAGAGGAAAGCCACAGGGAGGCTTTTCCATCCCAGGGGAGGAAACTCTTTTATTTACATATCAAAACACAGGAGTTAACAAAAGACATTTTCATATCAACAAAAACCACGATGTTTTTATTAAAAATCAACTCATTGGGGCACAAGTGACATCCCAGGGTGAGGATCTGCTGGTCCTCCAGTGCCTGGGGGATGTTGTGAATTTGGGATGGTGACAAAACCCCTCCACAGGGGTCACTTGGTGAAGGGAACCCCCCTGTGGGGACCTGTTTGGGGGGCAAAGCCACTGCCCATTGGCATTTCCTACCCTGTCTCTGATCATACCTGGATCCTGCATCCCCAGGGAGCCCCAGTCCTTCCCAATTCCCTCTGATTCCTTTTCCCCACAGGATTTTGCTTGAGGGGCTGTATATGAGCAAATCCCATGAATCCCATGAATCATATCTGTGTGGGAGAACAGCACCTGCCACCCCAAAATCCCTTGGAAATTTTACCTATGGATGCAAAACCCCATTGTTCCAGTGTTCCTTCACTCTGTTCCTGCTTGGATTTGGAGAGTCCCCAAAAACCCCCAAATCCTGGAGAAGTTGGCTTGGCTTTCCCAATGGAGCCCCAATCCCTGCTAGGATAGGGAGAGGAGGGGGTTGCGTGCAATTCAGGGAGACCCCAAAATGAAGATTGTGATCTCAGCACAACTCCAAACACATTTCCATGAGGGATGCTCTCAGCTCCGGCAAATCTCCTCCCAAAAGGAAGGGGATGGAGAGGGATGGGCTCTTGGAATGGTGGGATCAAGGCTGTGGGGGCTTTACACCCATTACATCCCATCACAGTGACTTGTCCCTGATACATCCCAGCCTGGATGTGGAAATGTCACCTGATGGCATTAAACCACCCCAGGTCCCCCTGTCCTGTCCTTGTGGCTGGGACAGCACCCGAGGATGGATGGGGATGGGAACCTCTTCCCAGCCCCACAAGCATCCAAGGAGGTGGCAGGACTTTCCTTCAACAAACCATCTGAAAAGGTCATTTATTGGTCAATTCAAAGGTTCCAAACAAAGCTGCTCCCCTGCAGGAACGAGCGGTGCATTCCCACGCTGCCGCACGGCTCCGTGTCCCAGTGACATCCCGGGAAAGCAAGAGGAGGAGGAGGGGGGTGCCATGCCTGGACATGGCATCCTGAGGTAGGTGCCAGGTCGTTCCCTGGCTCTCCAGTTCCTGAGCTGGTCGGCTGCCACAGGATTGGGATGGACTCACAGCCGGGGCTTGATCTGCAGCCGTTTCCCTGGAGGGAGGGAAGGGAATGGTGATGGTGGGAAAGGGGGGGAACACAGCTGGATATTCCCAGGCTTCCCCTTGCCTGGTCATGGGAGGGGGTTAAACCGCTGGGAAATCGGGAATGTGGGTGGTTTTCCACCCTGGCAGCACTCACTGGACTCACCGCTGCCACCCACAAGGGAGCTCTCGGAATCCTGCAGGGATGCCCTGGGGAACATTCTCCTCCTTTTGGCGTTGCCTGGAAAGGAAAGGAAGAAAAGAGGAGAAAGTCATTGAGGCTGACTCAGGTCACCTTGGAAATACCTTGGAATGCAGGTGGAGGAGTGTCCTAAGTTCCTCTTGTGCTTCACATCCCCCTTGGCCATGTCAAGGATGGAGGTGGCTCATTCCTCAAATCCCTGAGCATCCTCAGCTCCCTGCAAGTGGCACTCAGAGGTCGCTTCCCACCATGGAGCAGCAAATCTGCTGCAAAATTCCCAAGTTATGGGTGAAAAAGAGAATTAAAAAGGATCCAAACCTTCCCACTGGTGAACATCAGGACCTGCTTTGGTGCTGGGATGGAGCTGTAAAGAGCTGAGCGTCAGCAGTCATCCCCCCAAGCATTCCCAGCATCCATTTAGGATGCTCCAGGTGATGTCTTCTGCTTGCTGGAACATGGTGCTTCCTCCAAAGAGGGTTCTGGATGCTCATGTAGAGCCAAAACACCATGAAGTGCCTCTGGGAGGTGACCTCCATGTAGGACAAGTCCAGCACTTTCCCATGGACCAAGGTGGACAGAGTGAAATCCTTCTCCATTTCAACCACAACGTTGGGAGTACCTTTCTGCAGGTTCTCCTATTTTCCCTCTCCAAAGGGTTTGGAGAGGTGTTTATGGACTTCCACGTACCAGAGTGATGGGTGGAAAGGAAAGTGGTGGCCACTTGGCCACCAAGATGAATGAGGATGGAAAAAAGTGGAGGTTTCCCAGAAGAAAAAGGACCCACAGGTTTAGTGGGAAAAGTTCCCCTTCATTTGGGACTAATGGAGATGGAGAAGGTCGTGGAGAAGATGGAGGGAATCCAGCCCAAACCCCCTCCAGATGTTCTGTTGCTCGTGCTCCTGCAAAATTCTGCATGGCACTTCCCAAACAATGAACCCAACCTGGAGGTGGGACCAAGGACACCTTCAAGCAGCCTTGAGAGCCCAAAGGAGAAAGTTTTTGGGGCAGGGGAGGCAGGACAGGTGACGACCCAACAACGGGGGGTCTCCAAGAGTTTTCCTTCGCTTTCCAACTTGGATAAACAAACTTGCTGGGAGTCGAAGCCGCGCTGGCAGTGATTCATCGCTCTGGAGTTAATTTATGGAAAATAAAGAGGGCTCATTTAGCACCTTTCCACCCTTAATATAACTCCCATACATCAGCGGGATGCATGGCAGACACGGCGGATCAGGATATTCCTCACTGGCAATGCAGCCGAATCCGGCTGGGATTTGGGAATGGTGACATGGAGCAAAACACCCTTGCATCCCCACCCTCCTAATTTTTCCCTTTGGCATCCAGCCAGGTGGTTTTTCCAGCTTGGGATCTGTGAATCCCAGGCTGGTTGCTGGAATGAGGGTCCAGAGCTGCTGGTTGTCACCTCAAGGGGTCAAAATCAGCAACTCCACATTCCTGCCCCATGGTGTGAGTTCAATAGGAATGGTGGAAAAGGCTGAATTCCCTTTGGATGAGCCAGGGAAAACTTCCTTAGCTGATATCCGTGAGGCAGCTCAAAGCAGGTTTGATTACAGAACTAGAAATATGGATTTATTTCTTTGGGAGAAGAAGGAAAAAGGTGCTTTTTAAATTGACCATAATTAACTTCCTGACTTTGGTACAGAGCGCACGGGGCCAAGATACTTCCAAAGTATCCATGCTTGATTTCCAACAGATTCCTCAAAAAAATCAAGGCAGGAATGAGAAAATGAACCCAAAATAGGTCATGAGAGGGCTAAACTGGTTCCGTTTTTCCCCTTGGATGGAAGGAGATGGAGGAAGGATGGCGCAGCCAAGGGGTGAACACCACATCCCAAAAAACCCCCGGGGAGGGAAAACCTGGACCAAACGGGGGTGTCACTCCACTCAACCCTGGCAAAGGAAAAGATATTTTTCCAGTTTTGTGCTTGGGAGATCCTGCAAATGGCGTGATCAATCTTGGGTCGCATCTCCAGCTCCTTCACTCTCTCCCCCCGTGCCGCCTTTCCCGGCATTCTGGGAGCGGCACAATCCATCTTCCAAGGAACCAGGTATATAATTTCTAGTTAGTGAAAGCAACCCCTTTTTCATTCCAAAGATTGAACAGCTTCCGAAGGAGAGGAACTGAGGCTGGATCACGAGTTTTCCATCGAAACCCAGGCGGTTTTCGCTGAGCTTGTCAGGCTCGTCGGAGAATTAGGACTTCCAGCGCTCTTCCTCCTGATGGAAATCAACATTTATTTTGCCTAAGCCTAAGAAGGTGTCAGGCAGACGGAGAAACTTGCCACTCTTCTCCAGGAAAAAAGAGGGGAAAGGAGGAAATCTAATAGAAATATATTATCAAGTCTGAGGAGTGGACAGTGCAGTAAATCACACTTCAGGTGGCACCATTAGATTTTTCAATAAAACCTGGTTTTCCCCCAGCCGGAGCCGAGAGGCTCCAGCTGCATCCAACAGGGAAGTTAAAACCAAATTTGTTTCATCCAGATGCTGATCCAAGAGGGATTGAAAGGGATTTCAAGGTGGGGAATCCGCTTGGATGAAGGGTGAAAGGAGGTGGGTCTGGGCCTGGGGCCGAAATCCTCTCCCTGCTCATCATTCCTGATCCATGAGGGATTAAAAATTGGGTTTCTCCACAAGGTGGGGAGGTGGAAGGCAGCTGGAGATGCCCCACCTCAGGGGTGAAGATTCCCAAACCCCAAATCAGTGAGATACAGGGAAAGACAACTCCCTTGCAGCTTTCCAAACTTTACCACCCAGCAGGAGAAAAGCTGGAATTTTTGTTGGTTTCCTTTCCTCAACGACCTCCGGCCTGATGGAATGTTTGGTCTCCATTGTTCTCCTGATGCCACCAAAGGGATTCATCCTGTCCTTCATCTTCCTCCAGGAAGGTCCAGAGAACCGAGATGAACCCCAGTATTTCCCTGCTGGATGCTCAAGGTTTAACACCATGAGGAGAAATTCCCTTCCAACACACTTTCCCTACTTATTCCCAGAAGAAAAATATCCCTTAACCCTTTCCGGGACACCTTAGGGGAGTCCAGAGGCTGAATCTGCCTTGGAAAGGTCTTTTCCTTTCATTGCCAAAGTCTCCTGGAGAAACTTGAGCTGGGAGATGCCTTTATATATATTTTTTTTTTTTTAATTTTTTTTTTAAATTAAATAAAACTTGACAACAGAAGATGGGGTGGAAAGCCCAGCAGCAAGGGCTGCATCCCAGAATTTCTCACAAATTTCTCATTTCCACATGGTTTTTCATGTGGAAAAAGCATATGGGGAGGGTTGGATCTCCTTGGCTCCATCCTGCACTGAATCCATGTGGTGACAACCTGCACTAGAAACTCATCCTGCTGCTCTTCTACCCCAACCTTCTGCCACACGTGAATGAGACCCTAAAAACTGAGTCTAAATGCACCCATCCCTCAAGCAGGACAACACAGATCCATCAAATTCCTTCATGGAAAAGGGTTGTCAGACATTGGAAGGGGCTGTCCAGGGAGGTTTGGACTCCCTGTCCCTGGAGATGTCCAAGGATTGACTGGATGTGGCACTCAGGGCTCTGGTCTGGTGACAAAGTGAGGATTGGTCACAAGGTGAACTTGATGATCTTAGAGGTCTTTTCCAACCTTAATGATTCTGTGATCCCTCCTCATGTCCTGGTGGCCCTGAGTAGCTCCCAAAGTTAGAAACTTCACTGTGATTTAATTTCCTCATTGCAAAGTGTCCAATTTAGGACCTACCAAGTCTCACTCCTTTACCAGAAACTGCAGTAATTTTCTTCCATATTGATTTTTTGCCCAATTTTTCATGGAATCCTAAAAGGGTTTATGTTGGAAGGGACCTTAAGGACCAATTCCCATGGGCAGGGACATCTTCCACTAGGCCGGGTTGCTCCAAGCCTCATCCAAACTGGCCTTGAACATGTCCAGGCATGAGGCATCCACAACTTCTCTGGAAAACCTGTGTCAAGGCCTCACCACCCTGGAGATGTTTGTGACCACACAGAGAAATCAATTCCCTGTTTTTTATCCCCATTGCTTCCTCCCAAAAGGAACAAACTGCACCAAGTCCTGCTGGGGTCAAAGTGATGCCAGCTCCTGTTATTCCAGGACAATCCCCTCATGCACAAGCCCTCCAACCCCAACCATGCAGGGAAAGCTCCAGGGCATCTTCTGCCACTGACTCAACTGACCAAAGGCTTGGTTGCCTCACCTGGCTACCAAAAAAAAGTTCTGGAGCAAAGATCTGCTGGCAGAAGAAGCACCAAAGGAGATGCATCATGGCGATGAAGATCCCAGGGGGACTGGCCACATCCACATGGATAGCGGCAGCTCTGGATATCTCCCAAATTAAATTGGGATTGTCCTGTGCAGGACCAGGAGTGGGACTTGACAGTCCCTTCTAAACTGAGATATTCTCTAATTCTCAGATTCCTGGAGCTGGGAATGGTTGGATCAAGCCCCGTCACCAAGGCAGCGGGGACAGCGGCAGTTCCGTGCTGGGGTCATCTCAACCACAGTGAGGAAAGAGGTGAAAATCCACAAAATCCCCAAACTTATCCCTCCTGAAGTAGAAGCCGTAAACAAACCCAGAAGCGGCCGCCACACCTCCCCGAATTCCTCGGAAGCCGAGGCAGTTGAGCGTGCTCAGCGGAGCCGTTAAAAAAGACTGGAGCGAGCATCTTCCATTAACGTTACGACCGTGAAATATGACAATAAAATGACGGCCGTATGGTCCCAAATTTGCAGCCCGCCGAGCTGCTCGGGGTTTATCGTCACTCAAACGTGCAGAGAGCTGTAAAATGTTTACAGAAAGGGTCGTTTGCGGCTATAAAATCCTCTTTTCTCTCCTAAACAAGGCTGAGCGGAGCCATTTACAAAGCCCGGAATGTTCATCGGGGGAGAGGGGAACATCTGTTCTCTCCAGGAGTTTGCAGTGATCTTCTCGAACAAATTAACTAAAATGGGTGCTTTCTAATTAAATTAGCACTCGATTGGAATGGTTTGCATTGGTGCAATTAGCGCGAGGAGGCCAGTTAGGCTCCAGCACAGGCGATTTAACTGGAAGGTGAAATATGGAAAAGCCCATTACCTGGAAAACAGGAGTTGGAGGGGCAGGGAAGCCTGTTCTCCCTCCAGCTCCACGCTCCTGGGTGGATAACACAAGGTGAAGGATGGGATGCCACCAAACCCACTCTTCCCATTTGGGATGCTCGGCTGGGAGCAGTTGGCTGTCCCCGTGCTGCACAGATTGGCTTTTTGGAGGATGCTTGGAAAGTACCAGCGCCCTCAAATTACAGAATCCCAGAATCATTTCAATTGGAAAAGACCTCTGAGATCAACCTTTACCCAATTGCTACCTTGTCAACAAATCACTCTTCCAACCCCGATTTCCAGGCTCCTCTGGAGGGTTGGGAACACGCCAGTGGCTCTGCTCCATGCACGCAGAACACATCCCTCCTTTCCAGTCCCCTTTCCCTATATCCTGAACCCAGACCCCCACTGAGACCCTGCAAGCTCATGCTGTTGCCCACGCTGGTCCTTAAAGGTCATCTCCAAACTCCCTCCCTGCCCCTCCCGTGTTTTTACTCGTTCCTCTTGCATTTCCCAGGATTAAAAGGGCATTTTCTCCAATTGTGACCGTTTAACCAAGGAATTAATCTCATTCCTTAATGACAACCTGTCCTCTTCCTTATTTACCATCCCCATAATTTGTGTGTCAACTTCAGGCTTCACAAGCACAAACCCAATGTTATCGCTGGCACAGCTGCCCAGATCCCACCCCCAAATCCCACCACAGACTCCAGCTATTTTCTAGAAGAAAAGAGCTACGCAAGGACTCATCCTGACCACCCTCTCAGCTCCAAACTCAATCTCAAGATCACCAAATATTCTGAAGGAATACAGGAATATTGGAAGGGATCCACAAGGATCATGGAGTCCAGTCCAAGTGACATGGCCACCACAAAGCATTTGGTCCTTTAGAAGCATCAGTCCCATGTTCTCTTAGGATGGTGGCCAGGGCTCCTCTTATCCCATTGGATTTGGGTGTTTCCGGGGGCTGCTGTGACCTGAAATCCCTTGGCTGGGATTAAGATGAAACCCCAAGGATGGGCAAAACCCATGGATCAACATTCCCATGTCCAGACTCGGCACGTCATCTCTTTGGCAGGGAAATTGCTTCATTATCAGATGATTTTACAGCCATCTGCAATTTCTTTGGTTTTCCTTTCTAATGGATCCTCCAGCATCTGTTTTCCCAATTCCATGAGCCTCCCTGGGCAAAGGAGCACAGAGGGATGAGTGCCCAGACCTCGTAGCTGCCAGCTTCAGCCAGTCTTCCTGATGACATTTCCAAATGAACCAGCTCCTCCTCCTCATCCTCCCACCCAAAACGCCTGGAAATCATCCTCCCTTGGATGCACACACTAGAATTAAGAAGAAAAGGATGCCCTTGCTCCTGAGTTACTCCTGGCTGCCAAGTGTATTCCAAGGCATTTTAACAGTCTTCTTGTCCATTAATTAATTGTTCCAACTTCATCATGGAGACAAAAATCCTGGTTAAGTTGCTGCTTTGGGAATACTTCCTGAGATCAAAAAGGAGTTGAACCAGGGCTAAGGAAGAGGAAGAAGGGGAGAAGAAATCCCTGGAAAGGGAAGCCGAGTGTTTCACTCCGTGTTGTGGAGAGGAACATTCCCAGCTGGGATGGTCCCCTCGCTGTGTCCACCACACTGTGGCTCAACAGCACCCGCGCTCGTCTCTGACTTCGGGAATATGTTGCTAATCCTGGGAATTCTCTTTCCAACAGCATTAAGGCATCTCAGCCCTCCCTGGCTTGAAGCGGCTGAGCCAGGCACAGCCTCGCAGATCCTTATGGATGATCCTGTAAATGCTTCAGCCTGGCTTTTGCAATGGAATTCATCCCTTACCCCAGTGGGATCCTGCTCCGGCTGCATGGAAAGCAGGGATCAAAGATGGGAAAGGCTCACACTGAACCAAATCTTGTGCCAGCAGAGCTGGCAACGGGAATTTCATCGTTACTCCCACAAAATATTGTGATTTCTGAGACCATTCCTGGATGGTGCTCTGAGATGAAGCTGCACATCTCTCTGGAGAAGGATGGGAGAGGAAAAGGGAAATGTGGAGCATCATCCAGCCAAAAACCTCCCACTCAGAGCTGGGAAGAATCAGGCACAATCCCGGCCTCACCATCTCCATCACCTCTGCTGCTGGGGGTATATCCCTGGACCCCAAAATCCCATCCCTTTAGGGATTTTCCCATGGAAGAGCTGAAAGAGGAGAGAAGGAACCAAGGAGAACACTGGAGAAGCAGAAGCTACTTGCTCTCACGTGGCAGAATTCCTAAAAAGTTCTGCTCATCCTAAACCACATTTTCCAAAAATTTTACTGACTTCCAAAGTGAATAATCTCAGACTAACAGCTCTTCCTTCAAATTTCCAACCTGCAAACACTCCTCCTCACCTCCCACTGGAATGTTTTTTTATTGGAAAACTTCCAAGCTATTTCCTGCTGGGAAACAGGTGTGATGGATGGTCCAGAGGTCCTCCAGAGGCAGAGTATCCTTGCATCCCACTAAACGCCTTCTCTATAGGGCAGTGATGTGATTCCATCATGGAAATGAGACCAGATTCATCATTGGATAATTTACACGATAAGGAAGGAGTTGATAAAATAAGGGGACAAAGTCCTGATACACAATTTTGGGAACAGACACAAGGATTTGTGCCCAGATGGGAATCCTGACTGCCATCCCAGTTTGGACTCCCAGTCTTAACTGGTTTAGTGACTCACAAAGAACATGGATCCCATCAAAATCCATGGAGAACAACAGAGAATAACTTTTTTTTTCTTGGAAAACCAGAGCAGCTCCAAGCAGAGGATGTGATTCCTACCTGGTTCATCCTCTGGCTCATCCTCATCCCCCTCCTCTTTGCAGCCCAGGGAACCAGGAGATTCTGGGGATCGGAGGGAGATGAAGGATGGCAGCTTTTGCAGGCAGCTACTTGGCTTGGGCTCCTCCTCTTTCCACAACTTCACCTCTTGCTCTGCACTGGAGGGTCCAGGAATTTCCCCATCATCCTGAAGCTGAGCTGGATCATTCCTGCAGGAATGGGAAAAACAATAAGGAAAAGTAAAACAATCCCACTTGGCAATGCTGGACAGGGCATCATATGCAATGGAAGAGGCTTGGAGCTCCCAGGTCCCCATCCAAGGCCATGCTGTATCCCTGATTTCCCTGAAGCCAGCACAGATTCAGCTGGAGTTTCTCCCTCCCCACCTGGATTCCCTGTCCTGCACTTCCCTGCAAGGTTCCCAGCTCCTCAGTTTCTTGTGGAGGTGCTGAGCTCCTGTTTGTGATCAAGCAGAGGGAAGGGGAGATGGAAGGCGTGGGGAGCTGGGATGGCTTGGAGGTGTCCTGCTGGGCTTGGCTCATTCCCAGCCCTGCCACTCTCTTCCAAGCTAACTTGACACTCCAGCTCCTTTGACATCTCCCATGACGGTGCCAATAAAGGAAAAAAAAACCCTCTGGAGCAGCTTCCAAGCTGGGGCGTGCTCCCTTCCCAGCGGAGGACGCCAGGAGCCTCCCAACCAGGCAGGCCTGCACTCATTCCTCCTTCCCTAAAAAGAGCAAGGAGCTATTTTACACCTCGTTCACACCGGGAACGTGAGCTGGGTGTCATTCCAAGGCTCTTCTGTCACCAGGGATAAGTTCGGAGAACCCGCGGAGCTGCTCGTCCCCCTCTGCTACCTTACAAGGCAGGGCCAGGATGAGGCCCAGGCCCAGACCATGGAGGATTCCAGGAGCATGGACCAGCCTGGCAAAGCTCCCAGGTCCCTCCCTTTCCATCCCACCTTCACTACCATCTCCCACTGCAAAAAGCCATGGAGAAGCCACACACCCAAATCCATTTTTCCTCCTCCCACTGAGCAGAACTTGGAGATTTTGGCTTTTAAAGCCAAATTTCCATTTGGCTTTAGTTTTAATTCCATTGGGATGTTGTTGTCCTGCACGCAGGACTTGAGAGTGAGGGCAGAGGGTGTGCCAAGCTCAGGAAAATCCATCTCCCTGTGAGGATGAGGATGGACACATCCATCATCAGCCTGTGGCTCCATCCCAGCACCCAAAAACATCAGGAAGAGCTGAGAGAGCTTCCAAGGATTAACCAAGGGCCCAGCTCAGCACTAAACTTTTCCAAAGCCGCTTATCTCCATGTCCATCCCCATTTCTGATTCTCCAGCCCCTCCATGCCATGGAGAGGGCTCAGCTCTGCTCTCCAACATGGATGTAAATAAGAGGGATGATGTTTTCCAGTTTCCCACATAACTATGGATAACCTGGACCCACTTTCAGCAGTGGAATCTCCATCAGGACTCCTCCATCTCCAAGAGGAAGGTCTACAAAAGCCTCAAGGGTTCCTGGAGGTGCTAAAGCCCTGGATGGCACATTCCTAAGTGTGAATTCCCTCTTTCCTCTCCATCAGCTCTTCCTCAAGTATGGACACTGCCCATCCCAGAGGTGGCTCCATCAGAAAACACCACAGTGACCCACACCAACGCATCTTAAAATAAACCAGGATACAGACAGAACACGCCTGGAAGAGGAAAAATATGGAGCAGGTTGGGAAGCAAACTGTTAAATGAAGCAAAATGAGCTCTTTCCTACCTGCCTGGTGCCTCCTGGATCCGTCTCCACTTGGAAGGGGGATTGTTGTGGTCTCCATCACCTCCAACCTGCTGTGGGTGACGTCTCTTCTGGGGGTGCAGGAGTTTGCACCGGGCACCCTTGGGGCAGACCCCTTTCTTGGCAAAGTCGGGACAAACCAGCGTGTGCTTCTTCTTGCACTACCAAGGAAAGAGGAAGCAGAGTTGGAAAAGGCAGAGAAAACCCTGTGGGAGCACAGGAATCCACAGCTGAGCTCCTTCAGGTGGCACCAACACCTTGCTAAAGGGAGAGAGGGATGTGTTGGCGTTTCCTTCTCCATATCAAAACAATATTCCAAGAAAAAATACTACTAAAAATAATATTCTAGTCTCGTACATTCCACACCTGCCCACGGTTTTCCAAGTGCTTGATTTTATGGATTCAAACCACCAAAGCCTTAACAGCAGTGATTTACCCCTGAAGAAGTCCCAAGGAGGTTATTTGGGCTGGAGAAGCTGGTTTTGGAGACAACACAGGATTTTATTGTCCCAGACATGCTTGGGACTTGGGAAAGAGCAGGAAAGAGCTGGAACAAAATCCTTTTAGGACTTATCCCAAAGGATTGCTGCCTGGACCAGCTTTCTGAGGAGGATGGATGAGGGCTGGAGCTCAACCTGCTCTTCCCAAGGCTTGGTTGATGGTCCCCATCCAGGGAAGCTCAGTGTGCCCATGGAATGGGGCTGTTAAAACAGCAGCATTGAGATGTTCATCCCTAAAAATGCTCCTGCACTCCCAGCTCTGGATTTTGGCAGCTCCCAGCAGCCACCAGTGGTTCTGGTGAGAGCAAGGTGTCATCAGTGTCCCAGAGCTTTCCCACAAGGTTTTCTGCTGGGAAATGGCACTTTTTGGCAGTGGGAAAGGCAGGCAGGGAAGAGGAGATGCCTTCAGCTGGGATTTCTATCTGGGTTCTTGGGAATGAAGGTGGGAGGAAGGAAAAAGAACAGACTCTGTCTAATCTCTGTTCCCAGCAATCCAGAGAGCTCATCCCAGCATATCCCAAGGGATAAAAGGTATGAGCAAGTCCTGGGCCCTTCTTAGTCCCATGTGGACCCACTCCCACCCAGGATGCTCCATCCTAACCAGTTTGGCTTTTGCATCACATTGTGACATCCATGGAGAGACAACTCAACACATGTGGCACAACCAAAAATTCCCAACTCCAAGATCCATTCCCTTGTAGACCTCCAGGAGAAATGTGGGTCCTTCCACATTCAGATGCCCAAGCATCCCATTCCTTCATGCTACAGACACTCAAATTTTGGGGAAAATGAGATAAATCCATGGGGAAACAAACACAGGGAGGGTTTCAGCACCACCATTCTGGCCTGCTTATAAAAATCCATCCTGCTGACAATGGGGGATGGAGGTCAATTCCTGCCCTTTTAATGCAACTTTACTTTGGGGACACAGGAGCAGCTCCCCGTGCTGACCTTTGGGATTAAGCAGGATTCCTGCCGAGCTCTCTCCTTGAAAAGCAGAAGGATTTGGCAGCTCCATCACCCGAGGCTGAGCGCTGAAGTCGGCGGCGGAGCAAGGAGCTCGTGTGCTGGAGGTTGGGGATGGTGCTGAGCAGCAGGAGGGCTGGGATCCACATGGACACACGGATATGGGCTCAATGTGGGGGACAGCTCAGTGATAGTGCTGCTTTTCCATAAAAAAGACATTTAAAACTCCCATTCCTATGATTTTGCACCTCTTATTTCAAGGAGCTGGAATGGGAAGTAACTCTACAACCAACGGGCAACCTGGAAGTAGAGTTGGGTCTGAACAGTGCCTGGCTTTGCCATTACTCCCAGATCCTGTGTTTTATAGGAATGTGGAAGGCTTCGGGTTGGAAGGGACTTAGAAATTATCTCGTTCCACCCCCCTGCCATGGGCAGGAACACTGTCCACTATCCCAGATTTTGCTCCCAGCCCTGTCCAACCTGGCCTTGGGCACTTCCAGGGATGGGGCAGCCACAGCTTCTATAGGAAACCGGTGCCAGTGCCTCATCACCCTCACAGGGAAGGATTTCTTCCCAATATCCCATCTAACCCTGCTCTCTGGCAGTGGGAAACCATTGTCCCTTTTCCTGGTACCCCATCCCTTGTCCAAAGTCCCTCTACAGCTCTCTTGGAGCCCATTTAGACACTGGCAGAGACTCTAAGGTCCCCCTGGAACCTTCTTGTCTCTAGGCTGGACATTCCCAGCTCTCCCAGACTGTCTCCACAAGATATTTTCTTCATTTTCTCATTTTACCTGCAGACAGGATACATTCTGGAACATTTGGAAAAGGCAGCAACCAGACAGGAATTCAAACACAGGAATTTCTCCCAAAATATTAGCAAGAAGAAAAGCAAATCCCTCAACCTGATAACCTCTTTTAAAATAAATGAGACAAAATTAGGGAAGAGAAAAAAATAAAGGAACACCCTATTAGGGATTGAAGACTGGGATGAATGCGTGGGCAGACCTTCCAAGCCCACCTGGAAGGGACAATCCCAGTGGAGCACAAGATTGTGGGATGGGCCTTGGTGCCAGGTCCTGGTCTGACCATCCACAGTTCCTGGAATCACAGAATATCCTGAGTTGAAAGGGACTCCCAGGGATCATCAAGTCCAAATTCCATCTCTGCCCTGCATGATCCCTGAAAAGGATGTGAAATCCTCTTCTGTAAAGGGGTTTCCAGCACAAAATCGACTTGAAAAGGAGAAGAGCAGGAAAAAAAGAGCCCTGACCTCAAAAAGCCACATGGATGCATCCCTGCTACATCGAGGAATTATGCTATTTTGGGAAAAGGCCAAGACTGTTCCTTCCCAGCAGGGCACCAATTACGGGGTGGGACAGTGCCATGATCCCGACGGGGCACCGGGATCAGGATGTGCCATGTCCCCAGTGCTCCACCCAGCCCCAGCCTCCAAGTGAATCCTTGGAGCAGCCCATGTTTATTGGCTCCATGGTAAAAAGATACTTAATAAAGAAAACAAACCGTGTGCGACTAATCCCGGGGCTGCTTCCCCAGCTCGGGTTTCTAATGGCTTTTCCACACCGTTCCCAGCGCTCCGTCCCTTCTTCCGCAAGGCCCCGTCCATCCTTGCTGTCCCACAGCTGGGCTGGTGAGGCTGGAATTGCCTCTGGAGGCTGGAAAAGCCCCTTCTGTTTATTTACAGTAGCTCTCCTGCTCCTGCCAGATCCGACGTGCCGGGGCTGGGTTTCCACAGGGAATTTTGCTGCCGGCCACGCGTCAGCTGGGGTGAAGCCGAGCGGGGCTGTGGGGTGGTGCTGGGGGTCATCTGATCCCTGACACCTGTTGGGGTGGCTAATTATACCCCCCCCGGGACCCCCGCCAGACCACAGGTTGGGCCATAAAAAGGGAAAAAACTCTGGTCCCTTCCACCAGAGAGATGAGAAAACCCCAGAGAATCCCTAAAAAGCCGCAGGGAGGAATCTCACCCCACTCTGGCTCCTTGCCAACATCCCCATGGGCATGTCCCAGTCCCAGTCTCCCCGCTGTGGGGTTCCCCCCACAGCCTGTCCAGCAATGGTGCCCAGGGTTGGGATGGTGCCCAGCTGGCAGATCTCATATCCAGGACTCCTCCTTGGCTGCCAGGACAGCCTTGGGTGAAATTCCAGGTGCTGTCAAGCATCCACAAGGCCTTAAATGGTCCAACGGAGCCCAGTGAGCTCCAGGAGTGAGACAGGGATGAGGAGATTTGCAGAGCCCAGCCTTCTTTAGCACGAAGCTGGCAAAGGAGGAGGCAGCAACTGGTGGAAAGTCCTGGCTCAGTCTTGGGAATGATGTTAATGAACATTTTCCATGAATAAGCTTGGCAGGAGGGGATGGAGGGTGGGAGGAAGGTGAAGCTGGGTCACTGGGCCAACCAGCAACCAACCCACTGACCGTATGGGGTGGGGAGGAGAGATCCCACCCAGCCTCCCATTCCTGGCTCCTGGGCAGCAGTTTGGCCAGGTTGAACTTCTCAAATATCTCCAGGCTTAATCCTTTCCCAGTGCTGCAGGACAGCAGGTGACAAGGGCTGGACTTTGATGATCCTTGTGGGTCCCTTCCAACTCAAAACATTCAGTGATTCTGTGAAGAGATGACGAAGTGCTGAAGCACTCTTCCCATCTCCTTGGGATCTATGTCCATCCCTCTATCCATCATGACAGACACAAATCCCACCAACCAGACCTTCAGGGGAAGGGAAGCATTAACATCCCCAAAACTCAACTGCCTCAACTCCACTGTTCCCTACTTTTTAAAGCCCTCTTGAGCATCCACGCAGCTTTTGCCGAAGCTATTCCAGGTATCCCCATGGCCAAGCAGTGGGATTAATGGACTGGATGGATGTCAGGCTGTTTTAATGTCCGTCTAAGTGGTTGTTGGGATGTGATGGCTGGAGGTGCTGGAGCTGTTTTGACGCCGCTCCAAAGTGACAGCCAGTAAATGGCTTTTTTCCGATTGCTTTTTTATAATTGGGTGCAGATGGAAACAGCCTTTAAAAAAAAAAATCTCAGCCCCCTGTCATTAAAACCTGAAGGACAATACATCCAAACATCATCCAGACTGGAATAACGATGGAGAAATTTAACCGATGTGGTTATCTGAAGGAATTTGCTCCAAAACAAGTTTCTGCCCTCAAAACAGTTGGCCCAGCAAAATGCCTGTAGTGAAGGGATGACTCCTGATGGTCATCTCCAAATGATCAGAGGAATTTGGGATCTAAAAGCTCTCCAGAATCCACTGCAAATCCATAAACCCTCTCACTTGGTATTTTCAGGAAATAAAACAGCATTTGAGCTAAAATACCTCTCAAGCTGGAGAAGACAAAGATGGTGTCTTGAATAACATTGGGAAAATCATATTTAAGAGGCAGCAAAGGAGATGGGAGGGAATCCCTGCTCATGGCAGGAGGTTGGAACTGGATGGTCTTTAAGGCCTCTTCCAACCCAAACCAGTCTGCAATCCCAGGATTCTGTGAAACAACGAGAACACCCACTTGGTGTCACCTGCAAACTTGCCAAGGGGGCACCCAATCCCATTATGTCATTAATGAAGGCATTAATTAGCATTGGTGCCAGTACAGACCCTTGAGGGCCACCATCTGTCACTGGTTTCCACTGGAAATGGAGTCATTGACTTTTTGCACACCCAGAAGG